ATATATATATATTCCACGTATACAATAGGATACTACCATATATAACTTACAGGAGGGTTGTTGGCTCTGTTGTGGTACTCGCCATCGACCCACACCAATGCCACAACATTGCCGCCGTGCTTGCCCGCAATAGTGCACACCACAGACGTTAACACATACTCGGCATTGCGCACGTCCTTCCCACTCGCGTCACCATCAGCCCCTACATGCGCATATCTCTGTGCGTATGTGTGTGCGTGTGCGTGTGCGGGTGCTTGTTGTTGTTGCTGCTGTTGTGGTGGTTGTGTGAGTGGCTGTACGGGGCGTGTGTGGGCGGTGGCTGGTGCTGTAGGGGTTGTAGTGTGTGTGTGTGGTGGGTGTGGCAGTGGTGTGTTTTGGCGTGGTGGTTGCTAACTTTCTCCGTTGGATTTCCTCTCTGGTGTCGGCCGTGATGCTGAGACCTGCGGTGTAGTCGCACGGCGACAGGAAAGGGAAAATAGAGGGACATGAATACTAACACAGGCATACACAGAGGGATGACCATAACAAGGCAGTATATATAGTCGGACGGTTCACTATATACATACATATGTACATGGTGCGCGATACTTCGGCAGTTGTTTTAATATACACATACATGTGTATATGATACATGATATTTAGGTAGCGCTATACAGTAACATCACCAATACATTTGCTTTCTGTTGTCTCCACTCTATGCATGCATATATTAGCAGATACCTTCGCATTGCACGATAGCGATGCCGATATATGCTTATATCTCTCTTGTAGATATCTACATATCAACATATATTTATATATATATGCACACACACACACACACATATATATATATATATATGTATATGTATATATATATATACGTATATATATATACATAACATAATATATATATATATATATATATAAATATATATATACGTATATATATACTTAATACAATATATATATATATATAAATATATATATATATATACATACATACATATATATTATATTATGTATATATATACATATATATATATATATGATGCCTTTGTCTTGCACGCTGGCGATGCTGACATAGGCATATTTACTTCGTATATATATTATACGTCATTTATACATATACATATACATATACATATACATA